TGTACATACTCCAGAATGCATCACCTAGTATATTGGCAGTCCTCCCCCTCAACACTTTCTCATTTCCCTCCAACCATCTCATGGAAATGGAGACAGAAATAATTTTTAAAGCAGCATTTAAATCTGGAATATTTTTTAAAAAGTAAGGTCCAAAACACACTGCAGAAATAAATGCCAGGGAACGTGGGAGCTGTAGTTTGCGTTTATAAGTGACAGTTTTCCTGCTAAGTACCTGCATGTCATAAGCATTTGAATTAAAATTACCATATTGAAATCAAATCTGATTTTTAAATTTTTTTATTTGGTGTGCGTTGGAAGAGGGGTAGTCTTATACGGCGAGCATATCCCAAATCTATATTTTAACTGGAAAAGTTGGGGGTCGGCTTATACGCCCAGTTGTCTAATATGTTGGAAAATACAGTAGGCAAGGATGCCCTTTGTCCCCACTTCTATTTATTATACAGTTGGCCCTCCGTTTTTGTGGGGAATCCGTTCTGCCCTCCCCATAAAAATGGAGATTAGCAAGTATTCAAGCCCCATAGGCTTGAATGGGGCGCCTCCCCATTGATTTAAACGGAGGTCGCTCCTCTGTGAATATGTAAAACTGCTGACTTGAAGTCCGCGAGAATGGAGGGGTGACTGTAGTACTAGAAATATTTATTAAAAAGATAAATGCAAGTAAGGACATTCAGGGGGCGAGAAATAAAGGAGTAGACTATAAAATATGTGCCTTTGCAGATGACATGACAGTATCACTGGAAATATTGAAGAGTGAATTAAGAGAATTGAAAAAATATCTGGATTGAAGATAAATGAAGGGAAAACTAATATATTAGTTAAAAACATGACTAAACTGGATGGAAACTTGCAGAGAAATCCGGCTTCAATATATGTAAAAAAACAAGATACCTGGCGATCAAATTAACTGCAAACAATGATGATATTTACAAGAATAATTATAAAAAATATGGAATCTAATTAAAAATGACTTAGAAATCTAGAAAAAATTGAAATTATCACTATTAGGTAGTATAGTCTGTACTAAAATACATATTTTGGCAAAATTACTATTTTTATCTCAAACTATACCAATAATAAGATATAGCCATGTTACTCTGTAGAATCAGTATGTAGAGAAATCTTGTAGCACCTTTGAGACTAACTGAAAGAAATTGCAGCATGAACTTTCGTAGACTGAAGTCTATGAAAGCTGATGCTGCCAATGTCTTTCTTTCAGTTAATCTCAAAGGTGCTACAAGATCTCTCTATATATCAATAATAGTAAAAGAAAAACCTATCCAAGAATGCAAAGAGAATTAACTAAATTTTTATGGCTGGGGAAAAAAAAGAGAATTAGACTTAAAATAATGCAAGATACAAAGGAAAGAGGGGGTTTATGGGTACCAGACCCAAAGATATATTACCAAGCCAGTTGTTTAATATGGATTAAAAATTGGATAAGCTTAAAAGAAGAAAAATTGTTACAACTTGAAAGTACAAAAAATATCTATGGATGACATGGATATTTATCCTATAATAAAGAGAAATGTAACAAACAGAGAATTTAACAATCATTGTTTGAGAAAGCTACTACTTTGGATTTGGAAGAAAGAAAGAAATTAGAGAATAAATTATCGCTAAAAACCACCACACCAGGATTTTTTGGGAAATGAAAAGGGTTTACTCAAGAATTGGCTGAAATATAAAGATATTTTAATTAGGCAAGACAATAATTTTAGACTAAAACAGAAGAAGAATTACTAAAAGAAGGAATTAAGATACACTGGTACTTGAAATGGCAACTGAGATTTAGTCTAGACATAAAAGAAAATAGTATTGAAATAACTAAAACAGAATTAGAAGAAATCTTGGAGTCTGAAAACAAAGGACTGTTATCCAAATTTAAAAGTAGAAATGGAAAAAGAAACAATAAAAAACAATATGATTATCTGGGCATAAAATATAGATCATCCCATTGAGTTAGAACAATGGGAGTTTACTTGGAAAAAAAAGATTAAACTATACTAGAAGTCAAGATATTAAAGAAAATTATTAAAAGATGTTTTACCAATGGCACCTATCATCTATAAATTGGCTAAAATATATGGAATAAACAGTAATTGTTTGAAATATCAAAAAGAAAAAGGAACTTTTTTCCATGTATGGTAGTCATGTAAAAAAATTAAAAAATATTGGTTGACTATTCATAAAGATTTATGTAACACATTTAATATCATGATGGAATTTAAACCAGAAATTTATCTGTTAAATATTATGGACCACAAAATTGAAAAACAATACGGAAGAGTGTTATTTCACTTAATTGTTACAGCACAGATGACTCCTGCAAGACACTGGAGAGAAGATCTGATTCCAGAAAAAGAAGAATGGTAGAGAAAGATCTAGCAGAAATGGACAGATTAACAAGACTTTTAACAGATGGAAATTTGATTAATTTTCAAAAAGACTGGAAATGTGTAATAGAGTTTTTGTCCCAAAAAAGAGGTAAATTAATGATAGAAGGATTTATAGAATGAAGAAGTGACAGTAACAGGAAAAAAGAAGGAAAGAAAAAGCAATGTTAAACTTAGAAAAAGAAAACGTTATTTTAAAAATGTGTAAGGCTACGTAGTTTCAATTTAGAGTGTAATTTTAAGGATTACAAATAGCATAGGGAATAATCAAATAAGTATGATGGGAAGTATTTTATTTAGAATGTATGAAGTAAAGAAGTATGCATATTAGAAACTAAAATGTGTGCTAAGAAAGTCGATGTGATCCTTGATTTCAGCTTGCTGAGAAGGAGGAAAGAAATAAAAGAGGGATATTAAGTAAGTGAAAGAGAGGATAGTGCAGATGAAAGTAGGTGGTGTGGTAGATAGATAGATAGGAAATGAAGAATGAGAAAGAAGAGATAGGAGGAGTGAGGAAGAGAAATGGAAAGTAAAAATGTTGGAGAATTCTACAAGAATTCTACAAGAAGGGAATGAAGTGAAGAGATGTAGTTAGAAGGAGAAGGAGAGGAAACCAAATCAAAGAAGGGAAAACATGCAAGCTGAATTCAAACATTACTGAAACTTAAATGAATATTATGATATTAAATAGATTATATTTTAGATTAGTGTTAAATGTGTAGCGAGTTAGTGAGATAGGATGCATGTAATGTGACTGTATAAGCTATATTTTGTCTTTAATTTTTTGTGTTGAATAAAATCTTTCAATAAAAAAAGGAAGTAACAGGGTGTAGCTTTAATGTACAGTCAGTCCTTCATATCTGCAAGGGTTCAGTTCTGGACTCCCCCCTGCAATGCTGAACACCATGGGACCTCAACTCCCATTATAGTCAGTGGCAGTGCAACATGTGCACGATCACGTTGGCACAGCCACATGCACATGCCACCATTGAAAATGGGGCAGGGCTATCTGCAGATGCGCCCACCTGTGGATGGCAAGCTTACAGAGGGTTGTATCTGTACAGATACAGAGGGTTGACTGTA